GTGGTTGGGGGGAGAGGCATGAAAGGATTAGATGAACTCTAGATAGGGCAAAGGGGAAGGCAGGGAAGGGAGAGGGTATGGGGGGAAGAAAAATGGTGGAATGAGATGGACATCATCACCTTAAGTACATGTACAAATGGTGTGACTCTACTTGTRTACAACCAGAAATATGAAAAATTGTGCTCTATAAGTGTAATATGAATTGTAATGCATTCTACTGTCATATATAACAAATTAGAATAAAATAWAAAAAGAAAGTGGCACAGAAAGAAATGGGGCAGTTTTTGAAGTTGATTCCCTTTCTACTGTGCTATGCTGCTTCTCATCAGAAGGAATGAATCCCTTGGGATAAGTCAAAAGACAAAAGGCTCACAATGAGGAAGCAAGCTCCAAATATCATGGCTTTCATCTTCACATCCAGGTCCAACGGGAAGTGGATGTCAAAGTGGTCAGCATCTCCCATGTTGGACAACAGACCATTCCACTTACGAATAATGCTGCCAATGCTGGACACACCGTCCAGGGACTGGACCTACAGTGACAAGAATGTGACTTGATGAGGATTGAAAAGTATTAAAGCACATGTCTCAGTCTTCCACACACAGCAGTTTATGCTGTGATAGCATAAATTCAGGCAGGAGAAGAATAATCACATAATTTCAAATGAGGATATTATGGCCAAGAAGGATTACATGTTTTAAAACTGATTGGAAACTAAATTGAAATATATCTTGCAATCCTCAGGTGACTGCTCCTTCCTCATCTTCTAATTGAGCTAGCAGGAGACCTTGTCAGAGTGAGAAAGGAATTTGGGGATACAGGAAAAAGAACACAGACTGAGAAGCACCCAGGAGCCTTTGGAATTCAGGAAACCCCCTGAACCTTTGAAATGCAAAACAAGCATTCCTGAGCAACCCAGTCCAAGACCTCCTTCATTCTTGCCCATGTTCTCCTGCAAAAATGATGTCATCATGATGACAATATTTAAGCATGGGAAAACTGGCAGGATATTGTGTAACTTCAGACTTCACCTCTAATCCAGCTCCTAGCATCTGTACTTCTATAAATATTAACATCTACACCAAGYAGAATCTCCCTCTGAAGATGGGTAGCAATCTCCCTTGAATATGTATTTCTTACTTTACCTTAAAAGATGTCACTACCCTGTGATAGTCTGCATTCTTTCTTGAATGTGTTTCTGCTTTCCTGAGTAAATCTGTGTCTCTGACTGGTGCATGCTGAAATTCTTTCCCTTCATGTGTGCCAAAAACTCTAGCATCCAGAGTCAAAGTTCCCATCTCTGGGAACTCCTTTGGTGACAGTGATTGGAATTGATCATTGAATTCTTCTCCATAGAACAAAGGGTGGGAATTGGGAAATGAGAGAAACCTAAGAGCAAAAGCARATGTCATGATACTGTCCACTACTTGTGGCTTGAGCTTTTGGGAGAGAAATCCACCCTGCCCAAACATACATCAGGATGCCAAAGGGGACCCTGGCTCTCACCACATGGAGTATACGTGAATGTCTCTTGGCAATAGGAACAGCCTACCCTGCAATTTGGCTTATCTATATTTTCTACAAAATTGTCTTTTATAAGTAAGTATAAATGATATAAATGTGAGAACTAGGGGATATAAATGATATATAGTGAGAACTAGGGGAAATTTATTGGGTATTATAGGGAACACATAAGAGTAATTTCAGTAGATGATAGGTTGGATTGAATTCTGAGGCCTTCAGAAATGACTCTATATGGAATTCAGGAAATACTCTATAATTTCCTTTGTCGTATTTGCTGATAATAAGCAATTATTTTGTAAACCCTGTGATAAAAGTGAAACAAAAGGATTTTTTTCTTTCTTGAGCAAATGTTATAATATAACCTATRAGGAATTTTATCCATGTTGTCGGTGTTATCAATTTCTTGAGGGTGCAGATAGACAATCTATCATACACATAAGCAATTGGCACAACTCGGAGTGCACTACATGTTCTGTCTTACGTTGCTCACTTGCATTAGAATCTATATTCCCATCTTGGAAATGTGTAGGAAAAAATGGTCAAGTAAATACAACCAAGAACAGGAAAAAAGATGGATTAGGTCAGATTACTAACTCTCAAAAGTTTTGATGTTTTCAATGATTTATTTTTCTTTGTCAAGTACAAAAATAGAAGCAGGGATGGGGGGGAGCCAAACAAAAAGCATTTCACATTTTGGAAAGTATCAAGTAATTTATTCATAATGACTTGAAAATCATTGCCTGTCAACTGGTTAATGAACACCTTCTTCTTACTCTGTAACTCRTTCACATGATAAAATTGTCTAAACGAGATCATTCTGAGGTCTATTAGAAAAAAAAACAGTAGAAACATTATGTTCACGGCATTTACCTCGAAAACAGAGTCGGAGCCACAGCCATAGGTAGAGCAGGGTCCACGCACTCTCAACACGTTCTCTTTCTTCTCATTCTGGATGCTGTAGACGGCTCTGCACAGGTTCCAGTGCTCTGCCACAAAGCCAATTGTGGCTCCAGGAGGACACTGCACCTCCAGCTGCGGAGGCAGCAATCAGGGAGGTCAGGAGGGTGGACACAGACCAATGCAACACACACGCCCACAGCCTAGACATGCTCCTGCACTCCAGGACCAGGGAGATTGGTTCTGGGAGAGGAAGTCTAGGTCTCTTGGGCTATCATTAGAGTTGTATTTTAATAAGCAGCCTTGTGGGATGAGGTCATGCTTCCCTTTGGGACAAAGGGCAGGCTTAATTCTGCTTTCTTATAAGAAGGCCAGCTGTTCAGGCTCAGTGTTCCTAAACTGCCCCCACGCAGCATTGCTTACATACACAGCTTCTCCAAGTCAACCCGTAGACAGTGGACAGGGAGGGGGCGGGGGACCAACCCCAGCACACTGATGCTCATGTTGCTTGTTGTGCTGTATCAGTGTCCTTTGTCTCTGATCTAGGAATCTCATGTCTTCTGACACAATGCATGAAACAGTAATAAGCTGACTTTTAGATTTTTAAGTCAGATAAAAGCCAAATCTCAGACTTGTTCACTATAACAAAAAAAGGAAAAGGAAAGAGGCATTCTGAAAATTGTATGACAGTGGCTCCCTCATCTCCAGGTATATGTTCCAAGACCCCCAGTAGATGCCTGTAAGCACAGTTAGTACTGAAACCCATAGACACTATATTTTTTTTCTTAAATATAGATACCTATAATAAAATTTAATTTATAAAGTAGGAACAGTAAGAATATTAACAACAATTATTAATAATAAAATAGAATGGTTATAACAATACTACATACAGTAGTAAAAGCTATGTGAATCTGGTCTCTTTTAAGTGCCACAGGGCAGGTGACATATACAGCATGGATACGCTGGACAAAGAGATGATTCATGTTCCATATCCCATTGTGCTACTCAGAAAAGCAATTGAAAATGTATGAACTGATTATTTATGGAATTTGTCATTGACATTTTCAGACCACAGTTGACAGCAGGTAACTGAAAGAGCAGAGAAACTGAAATTGCCAAGTGAAACTGCAGATGCTGGTGGAGGAGGGGGACTACAGSGTTCCAACAGCAGAGTGCATAGGTGGGCAGATACAGCCATTTTTAAAGAGAGTCTTAAAATATTGCCCACTCTTTTGCTTTATTTAATTATCATTACAATATTCCTTTGTCAAACAAGATCTTCCTACTTAATAAGARTTATAAAGATTTCCAAAGTGAAAGTTCTACTATTTCTCTGGTTGAATATGTACCTTTCTAAGAATTCTGGGAAAGGACTACAGAGAACATAGGACAGGACCAGTTTCCTGCACTGTCAAATTAAAATACTATCCATGTACATAAAGTAATACTTAAACACAAACATATAGGTTTGATAGTATTGTAAAGGAATATCTCATGTAAGTTTAAGCCTAAGATGTCATCATATCAAAACAGCCTAAAAATAAGTCACTTAAAAAACTCATACCAGGGGATATTACTCAATCATAAAAGGAATGAGGTAATCAATCTGGGTAAAACCTGCTAATCTTGGTTGCATAATATAGGGCTTTGTTTTGTTATATAATGTTTTCTTTTTTWAAAAAAAAGATTAATTTATTTTATCCAATACATAAAAATGCAAAAATTGTACGTATTAATTGGGTATCATCTGATGTTTAGGTTCACTAATACATTCTGTAATGTTTAACATTTTAAAAGTCTTGAAATGCCAAAATAACAGAGATGTAGAACAGATTCATGGTTGCCAGGAGTTAGAGATGAAGAGGAAGGAGGGGGAGGAGGGTGGTAATATAAGAGAATTTCTGAGTTAATGGAACTGTTTGGTGTCTGTATTGTGGTAGTGGATACAGGAATCTACATAGCTGATAAAACTGTACAAACAAAACACACAAAATAAATTTAAAAATAATAGATAAAATCTAGATCGTGTTATGGGACAAAGTTCCATAAATTGGGCTGCTTTTGGTTTTGATTTGCTTTTCTCTATCCTGGCTAATTGTAATCTCAGAAGACTGCATTTATAGGCTTTGATTTAAAACCCAACTCATATATGTGAAGAACAATGCTTACCATATCCAAAAGGGAGGTAGAGATTCATTCCAAATATAAGGCTCTTATCACAAAAATAATAGTTACAATGGAGTATTTGAGAATCATAGATAACATTCACTGACAACTATACCATTTGCCAGGTTTTGTGCTCAGGAATTGATATTTATTTATCACTTGTCCCTTATAACAATCATCCTGTCAGATAGGTACCATTAATATCTCTACATTACAAATAAACTAAGGCATGGAGCAGGCAGTGGGTAAATTAATATTTAGTAAATATTGATCCTTAACCTATAATGTAAACATCCAAGTTATTCTGTGAGGTAGTGCCTACCCAGAATATGAATCAGACTCAAGAGGTTCAGTAAATTGTCCAGATTGATGTGGGCTAGACTATATGGGCAATGACCAAACAGACTCTATATCCTGTAAGAAATGCTTCTCCCGTGGGGAAGTCCCAACTCTGTACCCACTAATAGTTGCCTAGCATAGCATATTTGGCAACACAAAATTGCAATCCTTATACAATGTAAAAGTGTTCTCTTTGGTTCCCATTTTTCTTGGGCAATATACCTTGTCTGAGAATGATTATCTAGATGTTAGTAACCATTCTTTAACTTGTACTCATCTAGGGTCACTTTGACCCACTTTCCTTCTGCTATGACTATGGAAAGTCCCATGAGAAACTCTGAATGAGAATGAAAGTATGATTAAGGACATTGCATTGTTTCGCTAATGGCTTTATTTAGCTTCTGTAACCCTGCTTGCTTGCTTGTTGCTATGCCAACGTGGATGCGTTTTTGTGGGTTTTTGCTTTTAAATACCCTAAAATGTTGTGAGTCAGGGCTGTTTCCTGCAGAGACAGTTTGGGTCCTATAGAAAGCAGTCAGACAATAAAGACTCTAATTTGGACAAAGCTGGGGGACTTGGTGTGATTTCTAAGCGACCTGTCCTATAACAAGTGGTGTATATGGAATTCAAACTCTAGTTGGCCTCTCTCTAAAACTGCTTTTCTTTTCCCATAGCAAACAACAATCCTAAAACTGCACAGATAAGTAACCAAACCATAACTCAGCACTCTGGTTCCAGCTKCGAAGGCACTTCATTGATTTAAGCTGCTCCTTCTGTCTCCAGAAAGGTGTGAATTGTGATGGGTAGTGTAAAGATATTGGCACTCTCTCCCATTCTAAAAACATCTGTTATTCTTTGCATTGCCTTATGCAGAGATATGTAGGTGTGACTACTGTCGATCTCTACAAATTCTCCAATTCAGTAGACAGAAACTTAGAATTGACATCATTGCCCAAACAACCTTAATTTGTCCTTGACCCACCAACTAGCACTTGAAAAGCATGAACTGCAAAAAACAAAAACAACAACAACAACAACAACAAAAACAGGTTTCCCCACACAGTGGAGGCTGGATCAGGAAGAGACAATGGCTGAGACTGTCCTTCTCTACCTCTTGCCTGGCTGAGGGGCAGCAGAAGCAGCAGCAGGTACATCGGAAAGGTCTCTGCATCGTCATGATCTCTCGTCCCATGAAGTCAATGACCCTAAGGACGAAGGGCCTTAGTGTCCGATAAGCATTCCTGGTAAAGTCATCAGTATCTTCATTTACGATGTAAACCATCTGGTCTGCACTGTTTTTAATATCATATCTGTTATTGGTTTCGAAATTTGTCATCTCTGAAAGATAAAATGAGAAAAATATATTAAACTATAATCAGTTAAAATGGACCTCAAGAAATCTTTGTTTAGGGGGAAAAAAGAACTCTTTTTTTTTATAAATATTTTAAGTCATAGATGGACACAATTCCTTTATTTTATTCATTTTATTTATATGTGGTGCTGAGGATCGAACCCAGTGCCTCACATGTTGGAGGCAGGTGCTCCACCACTGAGCTAGAACCCTGGCCTCTTGGTTTAGTATTCTTAGGGACAGATTTGTAACAATTTCAGGTGAAATATATTCAATTGATTAGAAGGCCAAAAAAATCATTCATATGACCTATAAGTATTAGTTAATTTTGAAAATTTAGAATATTTCCTATATTCAGTATAAAATAATTTTAAAAGCACTTCTACATAAAAGCAAATATGAAAATAATATTCCTGAGATATCTGAATTAAATAAATTACATGTTAAACTGTGAATTAATCAGCTCAAGAAATATACTGAAATGACTAGGGTCATTACTAGTTACAAGGAAAGTCAGAGGTTCTATGTGGTGGCCAAGTCAATATGCAGAGATAGAATAGACAGGTCAGCCATTTGAAGAGGTGGAAAGGGAACAGGCCTGATCTTGACTGTGACCATTTCTTTCCACTTCCAATGCAAAGATTCAGAACTCAGTAGATTTAGATTCTGTCCCCAACATTGCCATGATTAGCTAACTGTGGGGCTCCTGGCTAACTTATTTGATCTCCTTTCTTCTTCTATTTATCAATGAGAGGTGAATATGRAGGAGAAAGTATAAGTAAAAGGTAGAACACACTGATCAGATAAAACATAAATCCTTTTCAAACCTAAGAGCTTGTATGATGGATAAATAAAACTATACAAAATAATTTGCTTTATTGTTTTCTTGAAGTCAGGGTAATATTCTTCTCTCTTTGAACCACTAAAATCCCATCAATGTAAAAAAGGAACTAGATATTTGATAATGCAGATTTTCCCATGATCAATACACTGCTGAACACAACAAAATTATACATACGTTCAATAGGCTCAAAATGCTGAAGAACGTGTATGTTGTCCAGCTGTGGGAATAGAACAAAACAATTAGAATGTAGAAAAATATCCAATCTATTTAGTATTAAAAAATAAAATGGTGAGACAGGTATCAAAATATATCAAGTGATATCTGATATATTTATTCCACTCAATTTAAAAAAAACCTTTTTGAAATTGAGTGGAATAAAAAAAACTATCAACTGAAATTAGTTTATCTGCATCTGATCAGAAGAATATTAGCAGAGTTTTCCAGATAAGAAAAACACTCCTCCAGTTTGACTTTATAAAAAAAAAAAAAAAGCTGGCTGATACATCAGAAAAACATCTCATTGCTATAGTAACAGCATCTAGAAGAAGATGTGTTTACATAGATTTTTCCTAGATCAGCTCGTAATTACATGTCTCTCTCTGACTTGTCATCCATAGATGTGCCTCTTAGGCAGTTCAGGGTGAGTTGACATGTTTCAGGCACCAGAAGGAATTCTCTCAGTGGCTTAGAGCAAAGGAACCAAGGGTGAACCTCCCCAGGGGTCTTCATTTATACATTATTCCTCTGGTGCCTCTGGAAGAGGTTTATACACCAAAGGCTGGTCCACGAGAGCAGAAAGAGCATGAACAGGGCTTGGGGAGAGGAGAGGAAGCATCCTCACTTAGAGATACTACTTTAATTTAACTTAGAATCATTCTAGGCATAAAGAGTTTGATGGGTCCATTATCTGTTATACTTGATAATATTCTAGCAGAACAGAAGCAATCTCCTTGAGGACAATCATTATCTGTACAATTTTAGATCACTGAGATCATTGACCATTCCTAATCCCTGAGCCCAGAACGTGTCTGGAATGCTGTATTTCACTAAATATTCATCAATATGTTAATTGGGGAAAAATATATGATTGCCGTGGTAACATATAAGACTTAAGATAACTGGGTGTGAACATTTTGTGGTATGATTAATTACATAGGGTATAGAAAGACATAATTGATTTTAGTTAAAATCTTTTTCTTATATAAAAACCTCAATCAAGTGATGGGGTCTAAACATATAAAATATCAAAAAGTAGCTACCAATATAGGTAAAATTTCCATTTAAAAAATCCATGATATTAAAATGCAGAATTAAAAAGTAAATATTCATTCAATGGTGAAAGTGTCCATTGCAGAGAAAAATATTCTGGAAATTAGATGCCTATGAATGTGTGGAAGAAGTTTGCCCACAAAGACACTATGCCAGAAAAGGAGATATTTGAGCAGTTGGTGAAGTCATTGGCAAAGCCAGTATTCTGGAAATAATATGACCCTGCTGTGGACTATTATGGAGTCTTGTTAGTCTTGAAAAAGCATCATATAACTTGCACGTGAGCTCTCAAAAAGACCAACAGAAAAGTGACTGACTCTATGTCTTGTGCTTACTCACAAGGGTGTCTTTAATAAACACTAATACAGCCGTCATCCACTGGGTACATCCTGTGTACCAAAAATATCAGGGATATAACAAGCATTATCTCATTAAAAATTCTCACCACAATCTCATAGAGTGGCATTAGGAAAGTTATTCAGAGTTTTAGTTAGTAGGGAGTAGATATGGAATTAAAGATCAAGTTTTAATAAAACCTTGTTTTATTTGTTACCTTTTTTCAAGTTTTTTTTTAAACATATAACATTCCTAAAAGGGAAAATTGAACTCATAAAATATGCTACTTTAAAGTCCATTACAGTAATAGCCGAAACTGTTCTTCTAGTACTTAAACAAAGCCAGACAATCTTAAAAGAGACATGACTCCAAAAGATACTGGATTTCAGAGAGAAATTTCTGTATTTTTAATCAAGTATAGAAATGAAGGTGTCTAAACTTGATTCACTTTAAAACCTTCATAAGCTTTTGAAGTAATGCAGGGGTTTATGCCACCATTTTGAATGACTGGGTTTGTATTGTTTTTAATCTACTCAAACAGTAATTGAATAAAAAATTTGGCTCATGTACACTTCAACTTTTCCTGATCTTACTGTATTGACTTTCATACATTAACATTGTAACACTGTACCGGTGGTTTTCAACACACAGTATTAAYAGATCCTTATCAATATGTGGAACTTGAAAGAGAAACTGGCAACTCCAAGAAAAACTCAGTTGACTACCTGGGGAGATACATGCTGGACTGGGAAGGCCTTACTTATAATATATTTCAATACCTTCTTTTTTTCAAAAGCAAACAAGAGTCAGACGATTCAGAAGAAATTTTACCATTAGTTTTATCTTACTTTCATTAAGCAGGTTTTTTGAGTTTTTGACACAGGGCTTTAAACAATATGACTTGTACACTTTACACACTGCTCCAGTTTCTTTAAAATGATTTTTATTACAGAATTGTAATTATTTGTAATATTTGGGTTCCTTTTGACAAAATTATACATACAAGGAATTTTATTTCAATCCCCCCTCACCACCATTTTTTCCCTAATTTGTGGTCTGAGATCTTGATGGCTTCAGAATGCATATTCAGGTAGAAATTTGGGACTCATTGTCTCTAATTATATGGAAGGGATCTCTGGAACTTGGCCTGAAGCAATACCGTCACCTTGGAAGTTCCCTATTTTTATTTATATTGTATCTGGGAGTGACAGGAAGGGATAAGAAAAATAATGGGTAATGAGCAAAAGCTATGGGCCAAGGCACTCAGTAATTTCCCAAGAGGCCATATGGAATATCCAAAATGTGAATCTGATTCCTTTATGAAGGCCACACTCATCCCACCAAAATCATGTATACTCACTGTTCCCCTTCCACATTTCTGAAGTCATTACCAACTTCCTACCRTCTCATTAAACAAGGCGCTGTCATCACTGAGCACCCGCTTCATCCAGTCTACTCAGACTTTTGTCCCTTGTTGGAGCTCCATGGTCACACTTCATGGGAAAACAGTGCAGAGTTGGGTGGAGTACCTGAATTAAGTATTCCAGGCCAAGAGGGCAGTTTGCCATGGGTGATGGTCGTGGCATCCATGCAACTGGAACAAGCTGACTGGGCCCAGGATATTTGCCAGGCTGATACTGGATAGGATGGATACTACCAGTTGGTTGGTACAAGGGAAAGGCGCTGGGCAGCTGTGGACCGTAGTATCCCATAGGCAATCCGCCTGGGTAACCCGCAGGTGGAGGGACAGCTGGTCCAGAGGGTCCTGGGTTAAAAAACAAATGCAAGCATCATATATCATTAACACTTCAGAATACTGAAAGTGAGTAACTTCACTTAAATGAAGATAAAATGGACCATGCAACATCTTCCTAAAAATAACATGCTCTGCTGGTGCACACCTGTAAATCCCAGTGACATGGGAGGCTGATGCAGGAGGATCAYAAATTTGAAGCCAGCCTCAATCTAGCAAGATCCTCTGCAAATCAGTGAGACCCTGTCTCAAAATAAAAAATTTTTTAAAAAAATTTTAAAGGAGGACTGGGGATATAACTCAGTGGGAGGTTACCTATAGGTTTATGCCTAGTACAAAATTTTTTTTTTTCATTTTCTGACTGTGTACCATCTACCAACAATGTGCTAAGGGGATTTATTTGTATATTAATTCATTTAATCCTCTTAAACCTTATAAGATAATTACAAAAATAAGGATTGAAACATGAAAATGCTAGCCTCCAATGCATTAGATTCTCTCTTTGTAGATAATATACATACTTMATTAGGTTCTCATAGGTTAGTACAAGGGCTAGTACATAATTCCCACTGTAAATTTTTATTATATTCGTTATTTTTTAAGGTCAGAAATAAAGTAAGTTCTATTTTACTTCAAAGAAATGGTCTAATGACCATCCCTTTGTTGGGCTTTTATTCAATCACAAGTTTTTAAATCCTCCTCTAGATCTCAGACTCCTCCTCAATTCTGACGGTATTTAAATTTCTTAAACCCCTTGTTTCAGGATTTGGGGTTTCTATAATGGAATATCACAGATTGAGTGGCTTAAGCAATAAGCGCTTCTTTCTCATATTTCTGAAAGCTGTAAAGTCCAAAATCCTGTGCCAGCCTGATCAAGTCTGCTGACAGCCCACTTCCTGTTTTTCAGGGGCTGCCTTCTTGATGTCTTTCCATGGAAAAAGAATCCTCCCTCCTGGGTCACTTCTTAGAAAAGCACCAATCCCATGATGAGGACTCCAGACCCATAACCTAATTACTTCTGAGAGATTCCACTCTGAGCACCATCACCRTRGGGATTAGGGCTTCAACACGTGAATTTAAGGGGGACACAAACAGTCGGTCCACAGTACTTATCTATCCACCATTTCTCCCAACTCCACCTTCAAAACAGAACTGATGAATTTTGTCTTTATCACTATAAGTCAGTTAAGGGATCTGGATTTCCTTAAAGAGATACAATATTTTATTAAGAGTAATGAAGATGATGAATTACCATATATCAACTGATGTGTGACTTTARGATGTTTTTATTATACCAAAGGTCTAAAATCAAGAATTTTTAAAAATAATTGTCATTAATAATTTTTTCATTTTTTTTGCCTTCCCAATTTTTACAATTAATTGATTAAAGTCTGTAAGTAACTGAACCGTGGTTGCCTATCAAGGTATGCAACAAATTCTGCTAAAGTTTTATAAACTTAACTGAAATCTTAAGTTTTAGGAACTTAACTGAAATCTCATTTGTGTACATGTTTATATTTATGCCCATATTATATAGTATTGACTACTCCACCTCTGTAGCAACCTTGGAAATTGCAAACTGTAAGTTCTCTAAATTTTTATTCAAGATTGTTCAAGATATTCTGAGTCTATTACATTTCTATATTTTTTTTAGAATTTCTTTGTCAAGCCTACTGGGAAACTGGTAAAAATTATGTTAAATCGGTAGATCAATTTGTGGAATATCACCATGTAATGATATTTAACTTATCAAATCTAYAAACAAGGAATTCCTTTCCATTTATTTAGATATTATATCAACAATGTTTATAATTTTCATTGTGCAAGTCTTGTAATTTCATTAAACTTAATCCATATTATTTTTATTTCTTTATTTATTTGAGTCAGTTGTTGTCATTATGTTGTGCAGGCTGGCCTTACACTCCTGGTTTTAGACAATCATCTGGTCCCATCCTCCTGAGTTGCTGGGACTACTGGCACATGTCACTGTACTTGAATTATTTTATTATTTTTAATGTTACTGTATGTGGAATAAAAGTTTTTTACATATATATATATATATATATATATATATATATATATCCTGAAAATAGAGATAATTTTGCTTCTTGCTTCCAATACAGATGCCTTTTATTTCTTTTCCTTGCCTAACTGCCCTGGCTAGGACTTCCAGTACAATGATGTATAGAAGTACCAAGAAAAGGGCTGGGGATGTRGCTCAAGTGGTAACGCACTCGCCTGGCATGCGCAGAGTGCTGGGTTCGATCCTCAGCACCACATAAAATAAAATAAAGATGTTGTGTCCACCGAAAAATAAATATTAAAAAGTTCTCTCTCTCTCTTTAAAAAAAAAAAAAAAAAAAGTACCAAGAGAAGATGTCTTGTCTTGTTCTTGATCTTAAAGGGAATGTTTTCAGTCATTACTATTAAACACATTGTTAGTTGTGGGTTTTCTAAGATGATGTCTATCATTCTGAAAAGTTCCTTTTTATTTCTGACTTGTTGACTGTTTTAATCATGCAGGATGCTGGACATTTTCAAATGTTTTCTCTGTATCTACTGATGTAATATTGTGGTTTTTTCCTCCTATATTCTATCAATAAAACATAAAATTTGAGTAACTTCTTTCACCCTTAAAATGAATTCCAAGTGTACTTCCTTTGTTAGGTTGCTGGACTTGGTTCCCTAGTATTTTGTGGAATACACCTGAATCTATTTATAGAAAGGTTGGTCTGTGGTTTTGTCTTTTGTGATGTCTCTATCTAACTTTTCTAGCTGAATAATATTGGCCTCCTAGAATSAGTCCAGAAGTACTAACTATTCTTCCAAGGGATTTGTATCAAAAAATTTTTTTTATTAAACACTTAGAAGAATTCACTAATGAATCCATCTGGGCCTAGGCTTTATTTTGTAGGAAATTTTTAAGTTATTAATTTAATCTCTATATTTGTTATATAGGTCTTTTCAGATCAATATTAAATCATTTTAATAAATTTCTATTGCTTGTATCTTGGGTATAATGGAATTTRTACATTTCATCTAGGTTTTCTGATTTGTTGGCATACAATTTCATAGTATTACATTATAATACTTTTAAATTTCTGCAACATTGGTAGCAATATCCTGACTCTCATTTTTAAGTGAAGCAATGAGTCTTTTATTTATTTTTTTAACCCTTGGTCAWATATGATTTAAAATTGCTTAATTTTTAATTTTTTTTCAAAGAATTSACTTTTGATTTTTCCTATTATTCTTTTCTCTATTTCGTTTATTTCTGCCCTAATCTTTATTATGTCATAATGCTTGATTTAAGTTTCTTTTTCTTTTTTTTTTGGCAAAAAATTGAGTTATTGATTTGAAATCTTTGTTCTTTGTTGAAATGTGTTTATAGGTATAGATTTCTGAGTAATACTTCAGCTACACCTTACAAATTTTGTATACTGTGTTTTGTTTTCTCATTTCTCTTGAGATAGTTTTATGCTTACAGAAACTTTAAGGTGTTTTTAAATATCCTCATATTGATTCATTTTTCAGATTTAAATTTCTCAAATTTCCCTCCCTTATTCCTGATATTTAACTTTATTGCATTGTGGTATGAGCACAYGCTCTGTTGGATTTCATCAGCTTGACATTTACTGAGCCTTGTTTTCTGTGCTAACCAGTTGTCCATCCCTGAGGTTGTTCTCTGTGGACTAAGAAGTGCACTCTGCTRTTATTGGAATGAGTCATCTGCTATGTCTAGATTGGTTTGTAGTGTCTCCATCTTCTGCTTCCCTTTTGGTCTTCTTGATCATACACTGTTCTATTCATGATTTCAAGTAGGATATTACTGTCTACAACTATTGGGKTTTTTTTTGTATTATCCATTTTGCTATTAAGTTTTGYCAGTGTTTCCTTCACATATTTAAAGTTCTTTTTATGTAAATACATATATAATTGTTCTTATTGTTTGACTGATCCTTTGTTATTTAAAACTATTCTTCTTTATGTCTAGTAACATTTTTTTGTCCCAAAGCATATTTTTCTTATATTGATAGCTACTTCAGTAACACTTATCAACCATTAAGTTTGAGAAACACAGTTTTGATGTGGTGTCTTACAAACTGAAAATGCATTTGTGGACAATAAAATCAATTTAATAATCCAAATTTCAATTTTTAGAAATAAAGTGATGTAGATTAGACTAAAATAAAAAAGAAACATTCAGACTTTATTGCCAGTATACTAGATGCTCACTGTTTTGAGTATGACTTGGTGTTAGTTATATACAAATGTATGCAAGTGTATCTGCATATGCATTGTGTACTATGGATGGGTTCTGGTACCTAACCCACCCATATTTAACATCACCACCAATGTTTGAAGCCAATATCTTACAGAACTTTTACTAATCAATATGAAGGAAATTAAGGTTCTGTTGTGGAACTGAGAAGATGGAGACAATGTTAAATCATCAAGGTCTGTTGGACAAGAGCTTCTTTACCATGGCTGAAGAGATTTCTCTGCAGATTTCCTCCTTGAAGGGGGAAAAAAAAACTAAATATAGTTTAAAGTGTGGTTTCTTTTTGAAGATTAAATTGTGTGGTAATGTGTATATGTATATATATATATATATATATATATATATATGTGTTTTCTTGAGTATCTGCTCAAAAATTATTGGATTGTCAGTCCACAGGGAAGCAGGAAGGTGTTAGAGGTAAGTGTACTGAAGTTTTATCTTGTGCCCAGATAAATTTACTTGAGGGAACAAAGACTGGGATTGAGAGGTCCAACTTGGACTATGTGGTTGGAGCTACATCAATGGTGTGTATTTCTCCAAATTTTTCAGGTTTTGGTGGCTGTGGGACTATAAGACTAGGAAATCTGGTGTCTTTGGCAATCAAAGATACAATGCCACAGAGCTGGTACAGTGCAGGGACTGATAGCTCCTGAAAAATGGCGCCAGCCCCATGGACAGCTGACCATGAAAAGTCCACTCCTGCAAAAGGAAAAGGACTTTTTGAGAGAGGAGGAGACTATGCTGTCTCCCTGAGCTTCCAAAGAACTGGATCCCAGACACCAAGCAGAAAAGAAAGAACTTCTGTTAGAGAGCTTGGCTGATGATGCAAAAACATCACAAGAAAGATYGTAGTAAGCACTTACTGAGCTCCTATACTCCAAGAACTGCCTTAATGAACTTACAAGTATTAAGTATTCTTATACTTATATCAATCTGTGTGTAGGTACTATTATTATCTTTAATTTACAGAGGGGGAAACTGAGAGATAAGGAGGTTAAGTAATTTATTAAGGGTCACTGCGTGATAGGTGGCAGAAATAGAAATAGAATTCAAGTATTTTGACTGCAGAGGCACCCAGCCTTCATTCAATTATGCTAATACTTAGAAATAAGGAAGAACTCCCAAAAGGGGACTCTGTGGAGGGCTTGGACCTCCAGACTGGAAAAGCAACCCTAGGTAGTAGCTATTTAAGATTCTTAAGTTGTGCATCACACAATCTACATCCCTACACATACACACACATATTTACTGGGGAATCCCTGGGGCAAAGAATTGTTCTGGAGTCCACCAATGCTGAGAGAACCCGGGAAGTGACATTCACCAAGACTCCCAGAAGTTCTCTGGAATGAGATRCAGAGCACACCTGCACTTGTGTAAGCCAAACTGGACAAAGACTTTGAGTCCTATGATGTGGACATTAAAGGGAAGAGTGGCCTTTGCAGCTAATTTAGTCTGGGACATTCTGGGTACTCAAAAAAATCTCATGCATAAATGTCATGAAGTGTGAAACAAATTCTCCTAATGCTATCTTAAACAAGGCTGAGATAAACATTTCTTTAAGTAAGAAGCAATCCTTAAGCCCATTACAGGTCCTGCTTAAGGTTAGAAACAGAAAGAGGTACAAACACATGACTGTCTTTAAGAACACCCAATCCTGAGGAAGATACACAGATTCATAAGAAAAAGTGAATGGGTATCASGAAGCAAGTAACTGCTGTAATGATAGATGCATGCATAATGTGTTAAGGGATTAGAGAGAAGGGACACTTACGCTAGGTAGAGGAGGTACACTGTGACCTAAATGACAACATATTGGACCCAGCCAGCACCTCCTTTTTTTTTAAAAAGAGAGAAAGAGAGAGAGAGAGAATTTTTTAATATTTATTTTTTAGTTATTGGCAGACACAACATCTTTGTTTGTATGTGGTGCTGAGGATCGAACCCGGGCCACATGCATGCCAGGCGAGCGCGCTACCGCTTGAGCCAYATCCCCAGCCCAGCCAGCACCTCCTTGATGCAGAAAGATTTTACTGGAAAATAGACCAGATTGAACAGGTGAACAGAAAAAGCTTTGTACTACAGAGAGAGAGAAGGCTGTGTATGGAGATTCAGTAAACAAAGAAAGACAAGTGGGAGTACAGAATARGAAAGACCTTACTAAAGTGCCTGAACTCTATGTCAGTAAAATGGAAAGTGGAGTGGTTGTTTTACGTTTAGAACTCTTTTTATATGAGAGGGTTAGATTAGATAGAGAATCACTGTGAGTATCCAAACGGAAAGAAGGATGTTTGACAGTGGTGAAAGGAACAGAATGTGCAGAAGTCATAATTAACATCTAAGAGACAGTGGTGACTTAGCAACAGGCTGGGTGTGTGAAAAGAATTTCTGGCTTGGGCTCTTATGAGCCTGCAGAATAGGGGGAAATGGTATGAATTTGGGAGCAAGCTGAAGAAGACAGATGGAGGACTGTTGAGTTTGAGAACTCATAGCTATCCTGAGGAAGCAGTCTACAGGCTGTTGGAGATGTAAGTTTAGAGCCCAAYAGACTGAAATGGGTCGTGGACCTGAGATTCACAATGCAAACGAAAGCACTGGTGTTTCAAAGATCACTTATGAGAGCCTGTGACCGGAGGGCGAATGGAGGAGGTGAAAGTGGAGGCTGGTCAGAGCTGAGCATCAAGGAATGCCAAGAATCATCAGTGCCTCAGGGAAGGCACACAGAGTTCCTGACAGAGGCTGAATGAGTGTAAGCAGAAAACAGGGAGAGTAACGATGACTACAAAGGAGGTCCACTTGGAGCTGCRTGAGATGAAAAGGCCTACAGCCGTTAGACCACAACGTAGTCAGCATTATATGAATAAAAGTTACACAAATTTCCTAAAGATTACTAGTCATCATATCACTTTAATGATATAAGGTACATAATAATTATCACACCATAGGAAGTGCTAATCAATATTCAGTTTGCCAAGTTGATTATTAATACACCATGTACTTTTAATATAAAACCAGAGCATGTAATAAAATTTTGAGTTCATGAATCAAAAAAGAAAATTATAATTTACATTAGGGGACTTATTCAGTATAATGATTATATTTCTAAGAAAAATTACTTAGAAATTTTATGTAAATAAATGGTTTTTATTATAAGTATGTATTATCTAGAGTTAAGAGAAGTGAGAAAAAAAATTATGTGTGGAGAACTAGTATATTATTCTCCATTCTGAACTTTGAAACTGACCTTACCAGTTTTGATTGGTTCTGCAAGAAAACATAACAGAAGAAAGCGAAATATCACATTTAATTTTGTGTAACTAGAGAATCTCACACCTCCATAAAATAAAGAACTTTTATAAAGAACTATCCTACCAAAACTAGTATGAGAAACCGTACCAAATGGGATTTGAGTTTTCCTGGTTATATTGTATATTACCAYTCTTTCTGATTTTAAAAAATCATGCCATTTCCTTTTCCAGTAGAACTACATATAACAATGATTTMTTTATTCTTCTAAATAAGAATAGTGACAAACTAATTTTTGGTAAAAGCACATATYTGGTACTATAATGCAAGTGAAAATTACAGAATTAAATTTAAATGAATTTGTTAAAACCAAGTATCTCAAGCACAGTGTTTCAAGTTTCTTACTGTGAATTACCAGAATACAGTTTATGTCATAAGTCCCTATTTCTCCCAGCCACTGGGTGGTGATCAGAGTGGACTTTTTCTATATGTTTAGAACTGAAAATTCACTGGTCGCATGCTCTGCACTCCTAGTATTTTTTCAATATATATAGTCATTTCACTTGAAGGGATGTCTTCTATTCTTTAACTAGTTTTTTTKACATTGAGAAAAATAGGTAATTTTGCAGATGAGCAAATGTGATTTACAACCAGTGTTTGCTTCTTAGGAATGGCGAACTTTTCGCTTTAGTGGATCCAGAGTGATCCTTGAATATAAAATAGGTTATGTACACTGTTTTTCACTGAAGTGAAATACAGAGAAATGGTTAAATAAAGTGTAGCTGGACCTTAGGAGTGTCAGTATGCRGATATGGGAGCAGTTGGCCAATTATAAGGTGCTATAATGGATCTCATCTGCAGGACAGGAATATAATTTAGGAAAAGGTCAAGGAAGGTCCATGGTTTTCAGAATGCACTGTAGGGCCCAAGGATACCCGAGCTCCATGGCTAATAGAATAAGAGCAAAAAAAAGGTCTCTGCCATCATCCTACAGAAACTGGGACTTTTTTGCCCTTTCAGAACCTTACCCAGTCATTTCCACCTCTAAATATACATTTAAATACCTATTCAAAAAAAATAGCACTATCATATCTAGAATTTTCTAAATCTCTAAACAATACTAACTAAAATCATTTATTGAGTGAAAATTAATTATATATTAAATTTTTTACACATTGCCAATTTGCTTTCTAAAAAGAGATGAATAACTTAAATTTATATTAGTTATATAATTTATAGTATTTAAACATAAGTACCCATTGTTCTAAGTCACCACCAAAGTGTACTGAGACTTAGAAATTATTTGTCAGAAGGAGAAGATCCTTAACCAGCACCCCCAGCCTTCTCTTCCGATTCTCTGCACGTCCCCTGACGTGTGTCCCATGCAGGCCTCACACAGACCACGATACACTTTTGAACATAGAACGTATAGTTTTTTTTTTTTTTTTTCTGCAAGAAATAGTCCTTTTCTTTGAGAAATTCTTATCATGACAGCAAAACTTAACTTTCTCAGTCAGGGCTTTCCCAATCCCATGACAGAGTCAGATACTATCTTGATGGCCCTAGAATATTCTCTTCTTATGTTCACAGTAGATCACAGATAACATAATAGATCACAGATAACACATGCTATCAACATTTGTACAACTTCCTCCTCAGTAGCCAGTCCATCCTATGAGCACAGTAATATGTACTGATAGACTGTAAAAGCCTTGGCATTCTAACAGCTTCCAATATTTACTTAATGAATCAATTATCATCAGTTAATGTGAAAATCAACTTTAATCAAGTACTATAGTTTTCTAAATATTTATCCTACCTGCCACAAAATGAGAATTGTAGTCAGGAGGAGCATCAGGGTGTGCATCTGGTGATTTTATTTGAGTTTCCATTTCACCTGTGGGCTGCTCCGGGGCTGTGGGAACTAGATCTTGAGGAAGAAGAGAAGACATGATGGACAAGGGTAATGATAACATAATTATAAAATGCAATCACCTTTCTCTTGTTGGTATGCATCAAGGAATATGCTCATATTTTTATGAAAAGCTGTAATTCGTCATCTATTACACATTAACCTACTAATTCATATTATAGATTTTATGCCAGAAAAAAATAAAAAATAAATCTAAGGAATTCATTGTGCTTGTGACTAGAGCAATAATTTTTACACTAGTGGCTCAGTTGACCTGAGGCTGACTCCTGCCTGTGTAATAAACTCCCTCATGAAAACAAAGAGCTGTTTTCCTATCATATGAAGAATATATGCAAATACACAGAGACTTTAATTTCTCCTTATTCTTTTTGACAAATGGTGTTGAAAGAAATTTAGTATTTACCACCACAAATAGTAGTTTTGAAAACCAGTAGTGGAGCACATGTCTGTTGTGTGCAGATCAGTCAATACCTGGTGACTCACGTTCTTACTATGTTCTATCTAAAACAGCCTATCATCTACAGTCACTGCTAATGGGGAGGGACTGAAGTCCCTTTGCATGATGATATACCTCGTCCTCCAATTGAGGATAGAGAGATTTTGCTTTTCAGTCTTTGTAAAAAAATGTTCTGAATTTCCTAAGCAAACAGCTAAATTCTATGCCATAGTAAACACAGATTTCATAATCATGGTGTTCTCTCTTGCAGTTGCTAGAAACCGCAGTCCTACCCTCAGGCCTTCTCTGTCAAGGCCATGTGTCACTGTCTGCTCTTCACCACCATGGCTTTATGTAGATATATTTTTATTTCCTTAATTTCCTCCACATACTCAAAAGATCTTTTGGTTCATATGGGCCAATATGAAATGCTATTTAAACCATTTGGAATAGACAGATAGGGATGCTCACATGCATAAATGAATACATGCAAACACACACACACACACACACACACACACACACACACATAATCTCCAAATGCTAAACAATAAAAACCTTCAAAATGATAACTGCCTTTTTAAGGAAAGCAATACCACAATTCACATTTGAAAATAAAACAAGTTGAAATTTATTCATGAAACTGTACCTGACATCTTGAAGAAATCCAGTCAGTCCTGAAAAACAAAAAACAGCTAATGCTTTTATATATATATATACACACACACAATATGTACTTACTGTTATTACTGATATATGTGAAAACTTCTGTAGGCTCTCAGCCTCCAGTTATCCTTCTTTCATTAGTTCATGAATTCAACAAATACTTATGAACTCCTATTATATACCAGACACTACTACAGAGGTTGAGAAAACAACAACAACAACAACTTCTGCTGTYCACTCTGCTGTCGTTTAGACTTCAGTGGGGTGCAAATAACAGAAACAGGTCGACGAATATTTTGAACTCAGATAGCACAGTTATGAAGAAAGCTAAATAAGATATTCCAGAAGGTCAGGGAAAGCCTCTCTCAGGAGGGGCCTCCGAGCTTCCTGGACTCTGAGAAGGAAACAGCACAATAAAATTGTGGGGAGAGTTCCAGGAAGACAGGGAGCTCGCCCAGAGGCCCAGAGGTGGCAGTGAGCTTGGGGTGCTCGAGGAACAGAAAGAGAAAGAGGTCGGTGACAGGGCCACAGAGAAGGAAGAGAACCCAGGTGAGAGATGAAGACAGAGGTCGGCTCACACCTGAAGGCCATGGCGAGGGGTCTGGAAGTGGTAATCATGACAACTTGAGAATCCTCCAGTCAGAATCCGTGGGGTGGGCAGATCTGACTTAGGCTGGATCCTGAGAGGTGGGAGCAGAAGCAGGGAGGGGGCCGCTGCAGTGCAGGTGASAGCTGCTGCTGGCTGAGGTGGCCAGTGCAGGCTGGCCCTGGGGAGGGACAGACAGAGGCAGGACATGGGTTGGACAGAAAACCCACAGGAGTCCCTGATAGACCAAGGAAAAGAGAGGGCACAAGAGAGTGCYAGTTTTCAGGTCAGGAAAACAGGGGTGGTGATGACTTTAACTACAGGGAAGGTGGTGGGGTAAATGGAAGAACTGGAAAGCAGGACTCAACAGTTCAGGCTGAGGTATGTTATGCTTAAGAAGAGGCCAAAGCAAGACCACTTGGACTTTTAAATGGAAAATATGTATGTGAATATTATGAGAAACACTTGATGAAGGAAAAAGTTAAAAGAAGGGGTGTGGTGGATTGAAATTTAATTTTCCAGATTCAATCAGGATTTGTTTTCTTTTCTTTCTTTCTTCTTTTTTTTTTTATGACTTCCAGATTTCTGAGTTTTGGGTGATGAAAAGGAACAAGGAGAACAGTCTCAACAGAGGCTATAATTTACTGAATACTTTTCAAAGACTAGGCAAATGGCCTTGCACTTTATATATATATCATCTCTAATTACAACAATAGCACTTTAATTCATAAATGGCCAGTCCAGTTAAAGGCAAGTACTTCTAAATCCTAAGACCATTCCCTTTTCACACATCATCCTGTTTATCARAGTATGGGATGTGGCAATTTGTGTCCAAGTGAAGTAAAAAGTCACCAGAGTGAAGTGATGTTAGGGTCTATAAACAAGTCTGGATGGGCCTGGCATTTTGCAGAGGGAGTGGTTTGTGAGGTGGCGCCAGCAAGCCATTAATTGTGGAGATTCCTTATTGGTCGACTGCTGTATCTAGTTTATGTTAATTAAGATAAGCTGTGTGGAATGTATATATACCCCTCCTGTCCTACAATAAACGGCTCCCACTTCTGCTGTATCAATGTACACAAGTTGCTCGTCACCCCCCAGTTATTTTGCTGCAGCYGGACTGCAGCAAAGTGATAGGTCAAAGAAGATGAGCGGGCCATCCAGGTGGACCACTGGATGCAATGAAAACCACTGTGGCATGAGACAGTGTGTAGATTCTTGGCTCAAATCATTGTCTGGCCAGGTGAGGGGAGAGTTCAGCCAGTACTGGACCATGTCCACTCATGTTCAGATCTGTAGTAAGTACAATATTCTGTGTATCACAAGAGGTTAAAAAAAAACAAAAACGCATTTGGGTACAAAAAAGACTCAATTCTAGGTGAGGCAAAGAGTTCAGTGAGGTAGTCCTATTATTCAACAATGCTCATTCCTACTATTTAAGAAAATGACCATAGCTTTCCRGAACTTTCAACTCTAAACACTCCCAAGGACGTACTCACAAGTGACTCCTGGAGACGTACACAGATATACACAAGAGGCTCTTGACACCCCTCTTCATATTAAAAGAAGTACAAAACGTACCTAATTTCCATCAGTGGTCAACCATTCTGGTGTATTCATACAGTGCGCCAGCAAGTGAACCATAGCCAAAGCAAACCACAGCCACGCAAGAGTAAGTATCAAAATTCCACCACTGAACAAAAAGGCAAGTGATGGGTGAACACATATAATGATTCCATTTTAGAATGTTCAAGAGRAAAACTAAACAAAACACTATCCAATACRTATATGGTGGAAAACTTAAAGAAAATACTAGCTGATMAATAAGAAAAATATCAGGAAAATGGTTGTATGAGGAAGAGGGGCTAAAGGGGTTGGTAGTGGTCTACAAAAGGCTCCAACCCCTGCCATGTTCTAGTCCTATCAGGGTGATGGAAATAGGAGTGATATGTTGCCCTTAGGACTCAAAGGGCACACATATGTTTAAACCTGCATCTTCATATGCAAACCATGATTTTACAATGAACAAGAATCATTGGACAGTTATATGTAGTCTTCTTCTAGTTAAGTCTGCTGCTCCTTTTGTTGTTGTTGTTGTTGTTAAATCTGGGGATTGCAAAGTATCAAGGGATCATGATCACTATTGAAACTCCATGATAGCCATGAAACTAATTCAAACAGATTAAAGTGCCTTGGTGAAAAGGGTCAAGATTATCCATCTTTCTCTCCATCCATCCACTTAGCCATCTGTTCATCTATGTATCTATCATCTATGGAGCTATCAATAATGGCAAACTCTATGGAATGGTAAAATGAGCAAATTTTAATAATTGCTGAGTCTAGGTGAGGACATAGATTTGAAAATTATTAGTTTTCAAGTATTTCATTTTCAAAATAAAACTTGAAAAAAATCACAGAATGTTGTATCCCAAACCTTAYGTAGTACCTTTGGGGTATAAACCTCAAAATCTTGTCTTTTAAAAAATAGTTCTGGATGATCCTATAATCAGGCACACTTACAACTGATATAAAGAAAACTAACAGATCATAGCAGGCCGAAATTAAAAATCCAATCTGATTTAAGTGATTGAATAACAACTTGAAAAGGTAGATTGGTCAGGGYTAGGGGTGTAGCTCAGTGATAGAGGCTTGTCCAGCATGCTTGAGGTCCTGGGTTTCATACCCAGCAGCAGAAACAAATAAATAAGGAAATCTGTAAAACTTAGATATCTATAACATTTTAAAAATCAACTAACATTAATGAATTGAAGTCAAGGAAATGGCATAGTACCTCACAAGCTATAGGTGCTTTAAGGGCTATTTACCTCCCGTGTCCTTTGAGCTACTAGTTGTGTATAAACTCACAGATCTAAGAAACACAACAAAACCCAAGCATAAAAACATAAGAAGGGGGCTGGGGTTGTGGCTCAGTGGTAGAGTGCTCCTCTAGCATGTGCAAGGCCCTGGGTTCAATCCTCAGTGCCACATAAAAATAAATAAATAAATAAATAAATAAATAAATAAATAAATAAACAAAGGCATTATATCCAATTACACTAAAAAATTTTAAAAAAATAGGAAGTTGGGGACTTACATCAAAATATATCACAGACAACTTGTCTAAAAGTTAATAAGGGAGAAAAACTTAAATCTAAAAGCCTATTTTGTATTTTGGACTACTACTTGTGTTTTTCTTTTCACCACCCTTACATTTCATCCATTTCTTATACAATTTTACAACAATTTTAGTCAAAATGTTTTGTGAAGCAGGACAACTTCTAGCTGGGCAAAGGTAGAATGCAATGACCTTCA